ATTAACATGTGTTAAGTCCCCCCCCCCCCTCCCCCCCACCCCCCGCGAGTCCTTTACAAGGTGCTCGAGAGATTTCGTGCGAGACGACACGAATGACTGGCCCAACGAGGCGCAAGGCTCGTCCCAGTCCCACCAACTGAACTAAATACTGCCATCAAGTACCCAACTCTACCTAATCTCTCGCTTTTTCTCTCTCCTTATAGCGGGAGCTCCCGCCATAAGGGGGTACGAGTAATCAGGAGCCATAATCGGGGCAGTAACGGTATAACGATCGTAAACAAGAAAAACCCACGGAGACTAAGGAAAGAAAGGAAGCTCCCGGTGTTAAAGTGATATGGGCATCCCCATTCCCAAATCCCTAGTGATGTGGGCATCCCCTACTCATGTTACGGTTAGGGTCACAGGGGATGCTTTTAGGAGTAGGGATTGAACATGCAAGGGCCAATTCGAGGAAACACAACACGATCACCTTGTCTCAGCAAATGTTTTACTATTAACGTACCAAAAAAAAGTAAATTCCTTCAAAGAGCGAAAAAATAATAGTTACAATACAGAAAAAACTACCTAAAGGGCACCGCAAAACGAAATTGAAGAAAACGATGAAAACGAAGCCGCTTACCAAATACTGAGGATAACAAGGGTTGGTGGTTAGGGAAACCGAGAAAAAAGCTACTGCCACGAACACTGTTACACTGATAAACACGTAAAACTCTGGTAAAAAAAGGGGGGCAGATAACAAACTATAACCGAATTTACATACAGCACGTAACAAAGGAGCGTAATTAACAAAATACAGGAGAGCGAAAAGAAAAAGAATACACCATAACAAGTAAGAGTTAGAAAGAGAAAACAAAGGGAAAAAATTTGCCCCAACAGGGATGCCCCAAACGCGGGGATGCCTATATCACTGTAACACCGGCATTTTTTCCTTCGCCATTCCGTTCCCAGATCACGCTGGCCTTTCAATTTTTCCCTTGACCTTGTTTTTCTGACTTCCCTACCGTATCTTAGAGCCTGGCAAAAGCTTGGCAAAAGCTAGCCATTTTGCGGAGCTGATTTCTATGAATGTAAACGCATTTTTTGAGTATAGTAACTTTTTTTATTATCTACAATCTTCGACATAATAATTTAGACTCCCAACATGTATAGTATTTATATTATAATAAACTTTATACATTCGCTGTCCAATTCAAATAGTGTAAGGAATAATACTTTGTCCCCCAGGGTCTCTTATTAAGGTGATTGGAAGAGAGACCCTGGGGACGAGTTATAACCACCCTAGTCCCCAGGCCTACTCATTCTTGTGATAGCCCATCTTCAAGTTATCAGTTTGAAGCATAAGTCCAGTTCTCAGCATCTAGATACAGGACAAGGTTCGTGGACGTTTGCTGATTAAATTGACAATCGGAAACTTTTCGTTGCTTTTCGTTATAAGTCCTACATTCCTTGGGTGAGTTCTGATTTGCCAATTATGCGAACGTGTTCATTTCCCATTTTGCAACAACAATAAGAAATAGCACTCCACATCAACCTCGGTCTACAATGGAAAGGCCTAGGTCACCACGTCCGCTGTGTGGCCTCTATGGGGCAGGATAAAAAGGTCCTTCGTGTTCCTATTTCAAACGTATAAACATCCTCTTCAGCGGCTGATTCAGATTCAGATTTAGTCCACTAAATAACGAGCCCGCCTCGGGGCCCGCAAGATAGGACGTAAGCCCGATCTTGAAACTATTTTTTCGCTCTACGGGATTTAGTGCAGGGGGGCTTCAGGACTCCGGGCCCCCTCCCTAGTTCCAAAAATATGGTTCGTGGTTGATATACCTTTAGTCATCGTCCTTTGTCCCTTTTTTTACACGTGTAAATATCCTCTTCAGAGACGGATTCAGATGTAGTACTTCTAGGAAGTCTAGTAGCTGGGCGGCCCGCTCCAGGCCCTGCTTGAGAGAAGGGAAGCCCGACCTCCAAAATCATTTTCTCGGCGTACGGGTTTAAGTTTAGGGGGCACCGGGGCCACGGGCCCCTCCACAATATTAGCCCCTGTTACCTTTATCCTGCTAATTTGGGTTTGGGATCATGATGAGTCTTATGCCACCATATGATTATCAACATGAAGATAAAAAACAGCACCCTTCTCATCATAGTTTTAATGTCTTTGGTTATTAGGGCGTTGGCCAGTACCCCGGACACCTTGTGAATCTCGTGACTGACGCATACGAACACAAACGTGGACAAGACGACATTGAGAAATGGCTGGCTAGGAATTAGGACCAAAATTCCCTTGGTATCGTGGGCAAGCCAGATATGGTACTGCGATATAAACAACTGCAAACAAGCAAAAACAATCAACACTTAATGACTGGCCGCGAGGGAAACATTGAGATTCGAAGGAAACAAAATTAACTGTTTTCCGAGGGACCAGTCTTCAAGTGATTTGTTATATAGCTGGAAATTTTAAAGCAGGAAATTGATTAAACCTCGCTGTTACGGCGCAGAGATTTGGTGGGAAACAGTTTCATTGCTAGATGTCATGTGACGTCGAAGTAACCAATGAGAGCGCGCGCTGTTGGGAAGAAATTTTCAGCTATATAACAAATATATTTAGTGTGTAAGCCGCGTAGCATTTATATGAGGCAAAAAGAATTAAAAATTGGCGATTTCTTGAGTGCTAACAAACTCTATGATTCCGTCTGAATACAAGCTCTAGAAAGGAAGTTGAGATAGCCCGGAATCAAAGAAAACGTTTTTTACCCAGGCAAGGTTTGAACTCGCGAGCTCTGGAGTAAATCTACCGGTGCTCTATCAATAGCCCTTATGCGTGTTTACGTTTTGAAATTATAAATTGCAAAGTGCAAATACAAAGAATTTAGTTCACAAAGGAGGCTTGTTGGTGAAATTTACTCGTCTAACGTAATCCTACATACGGGCCATTGAGTTGTTTTTAGGCGAGATGCTCGAAATGGTTAAAAGAGCTTTGCTCCTTAATGAAATCTGTTATTTATCGCGCTTTGACTATGATAGGTTTGTTTGATGTTTGTCTCACGATAGTCACTGACACCCGCTTATTGTAGTGAACAATTTACTACAATTTACAATAGCATGCGACCGTTAAAGTCAAAACGTTAAACAACGCATGTTAAGAGGATGGTGAAATGACAAAGATGAGACTCCGAGACCCTTCACCAAAAGTTATTCGGGACTCCGAGATGCAAAAGTCGCCCGAAAACGAGACTTCAAGATCCGGCACCAACAACGCTTCCGAGATATCGAGATCGCGCCAAAATTTTCCGAGACCCACGTTTTTCAAAGTACCATTCTATGCCCCTGGTAAAGGAGTAACTTCTTGTGCTATTGACGACTCGGCAGAATCAAACCTCGCCTTACAAGTAAGTCTCCTTTAATTTAGCGGTGACCTTTAGAGTAAAAGCGTTATACAACGTATGTTAAGAGAATGGTGAAACCGTGTTGTTAAGGGTAGAAGAGGAACGAGCTCGAGTCCGCAGTAGGACATGTAGTATGGAATACGAAATGGCATAAATTATGCGGCAAGGTTAATTTATTTCTTCAATAATTATGTCAACCTACCCCTTGCCACATAATTTATACCATTTTTCAAGCCATTCCACGAACTCATTCGTCTTTTATATTCTCCGCAGTATCACGGGGCCTTAAAGAGTTTAGGATAATATATATAAACTCAGTTATACATTACTAACCTCTAAAGAAAAAGAACCAACCCATGCGTAGAACCGACTAAATTTAGACCGGAGAGAACCAGGTATATTTCTGAGAAGTACGAAAGCTGTTATCTGTAATTTCAAAAAAATATACATACTAGCAAAACAGTTTTAATGTGGTAGAAACTGAAAAAGATGACTAATCAATACCGACTCAAGATAGTGAGTCTGACACACGGAATAACTGGTCCTAGACGAAACATGTTCTTTTTTCCGAGAGCCTCAACATTTTCTGCAGGGGAAATGATATACCACCGGAAGCATTGCGAAGTTAACTCGTGTCCAACTTCGCAGGCACGCGGAGGGTAAAGACCTGCGATGGCTCTTTCCAAGGTCAAGGTATCTCGGAACAGTATCCCAGGTAGCACCTGCAGCTATGTTGCAGGTAGGTTAGCGGCATATGACCAAAGGTTAAAGCTGTTTACACTATTCCGCGGGATAGACAAGAAAAGCGACCCGGAATAATATGAACACGTATCCGGTATGTGACGCCACACTTTCGAGATCGGTACGGCCCAGCTTATCTCCGTTATAGAAAACGGGCTAAAATCACCATTTTTCTGTGTCAACAGAATCCCTATCCGGTATGGTTTTCGTGCCTGCACAAAAGCCATCCAGTATGGTGTGAACATTGCCTTAAAGTCCACAGCATCATGTCCGTAATTTTCGAACCCGTAAGGCCATAGTTTGGAATCCCACGTGACTGAAGCCAGCATTTAGCATTCTTATCATTTTCGGGGGAAGTGTACAAAAATGAGAATATCTCCTGGGATTACAGCTAGCGCATGATAGATTTAGACCGACTTAAATGTTGTTACTCTTAGGGCAAACTTGGTCAATAAAATATGTTTAAGTAAAGGAAAAAATTAATGACAAATGGCCACAAATCAACTGCTAGTAAGTTCTCCATTTCTGATCAATTCTAGCGAGAGAACGTGCGAGTGGGCGGTGCTCACGCGTGAATTCTCGCGACTGCCCCAAATGGAGAGCTTGCCGGCGGGAGGTGTCTTTAAAACGCGGGGTTGGGGCCGGGCCAGGGGGCCGGGGCCGGGTTCGGGGTCTATCTTTTTTTTAGGGTTACGGTTAGTGTCAACCCTACCCCTAACAAACCCTAACCCTAAAACAGCGTTCTTTAAAAAGGAGAGACCCCGACTCTGGTCCAGGTCCCGACCCCGGCTCTGACACGCGTTTTACTGACACCCACTTGCAGGTTAGGTTACATTCCGGCTCCGATATAGAGGTTTATTATTGGGTCGTTCGGAAAGGACAAACACAAGATGAGTTAAGGTTATAAAGGAAAGCAAAAAGGAAACAGCAACTTTATACTTACAGGTATAAATGACAAAAATGAATGGGTTTCGTTACAAGAGGGTTTTGAACTACACGTAATTGCTTGAAGAGTATAAATCTGAAAGTAAGGAGGTAAAACACAGGTCAGTTCATGGGAAGAAAATAACGTGTTTCAGCAACGCAGGGTTAAACTACTCCAGAAGCCCTTATGGGCTCCTGACGTCGTCTAGCATTAGTGAACTTACGCAACAGGACGGGAGAGGAAAGAACACGGCAAACTTTGCGCGGTAAGCGTGACAATAATTTTGTTTGAAACTACTTTTCGTCGAACGTCACTTTCCTTTAAACAGGTCTATTTGCCAAGGATCAGAAATCATTGGTGTGAAGTGAAGATCGCGACAAAACACGCAAGTAATAGCCCTGTCACGTTTGTCACACACAAGTGTTTTGCCGTCCTCTTCATCCTGCCATCTTGTTGCGTAAACTTAGTCTGAAATGTCATACGTCTCTCTCTCTCTCTCGCCCGCGCCCCCGACGGGTTAGGGGGTGAAGACGTGTGACATTTCAGACTATGTAAACTCACTCTTAATATAATCTAAGTTGCCTCACTGATGGTCCAAACACTGGGTTTACACCTTTAATTCCTAGGGCATTTATCAGTAGAAATCGGTCTAGAAAACTTTGGTCACGTGTGTCGAACACACATTCGAAGAAGTGACTATTACTTTTTGGTTTTACTTTTTACAGGTTAATATAACTGGCGAGATTATTTTCAGTCAATCATTTATTCAGGAGCCCATTATCCGCCGCGAAGAACTCCCAACCTGGACCTATGTCAAGGAGCTTTCACAGATCAGTCATTCATAGACACATTCTAGAGTGTACAACCTCAAATCTGTATGCGTGCACTTTCGAAGTATAAATTGTTAATAAAAAAGAAAGCCAGCCCTAATTTGCAAAACAAAAAAGCAAATCCTGAGGAATTCTGGCAATAGTGGAAAATGGCGACATCGTGCAAATGGCCTACAGTGACCTAAAGTTATCACCTCGCGCGGCCGGGAACTGTTATCTCTTTTGTGCCCCGCTTAATCATGGGAACGATAACGCAGTGATAATCGCTTTCCTGTCCCATTTCCATCGGGCCATTGGACGAACTTCTAATTTGTGATTACTTCTAGTTATATCAAGGCAAGGCTTAGACTTATTTCAAATTGACTTCTCACCAGAAGGGCTACAACGGCAAAGAAAAGAGAGACGACGGCGGCAGGACCAGAAAACAAAATTCTCTTGTTATTATCCTCAAAGAACTTAAAATATTTAGCAGTGCAGTACACTAGCGCTACAACCATTCCATAAAGAGCAATCTGCAAGAGAAATGCAAGCAAAGAATTAGCCCAGGTAGCTGGGTAGGAAACTCCAGCCAGTGCTGGTGCGAAGACGTCGTTTAGATTTACATTTTCATTTCAGTTTGAAAGGATACGCACCGGNGTATGCGTGCACTTTCGAAGTATAAATTGTTAATAAAAAAGAAAGCCAGCCCTAATTTGCAAAACAAAAAAGCAAATCCTGAGGAATTCTGGCAATAGTGGAAAATGGCGACATCGTGCAAATGGCCTACAGTGACCTAAAGTTATCACCTCACGCGGCCGGGAACTGTTATCTCTTTTGTGCCCCGCTTAATCATGGGAACGATAACGCAGTGATAATCGCTTTCCTGTCCCATTTCCATCGGGCCATTGGACGAACTTCTAATTTGTGATTACTTCTAGTTATATCAAGGCAAGGCTTAGACTTATTTCAAATTGACTTCTCACCAGAAGGGCTACAACGGCAAAGAAAAGAGAGACGACGGCGGCAGGACCAGAAAACAAAATTCTCTTGTTATTATCCTCAAAAAACTTAAAATATTTAGCAGTGCAGTACACTAGCGCTACAACCATTCCATAAAGAGCAATCTGCAAGAGAAATGCAAGCAAAGAATTAGCCCAGGTAGCTGGGTAGGAAACTCCAGCCAGTGCTGGTGCGAAGACGTCGTTTAGATTTACATTTTCATTTCAGTTTGAAAGGATACGCACCGGGAGTACGTTCACTGTAAAACACGGTAGTGGCGTCCAAGGTTGGACAAAGTTGAAACATAAATTTGATCCTATGTCTAGCTAATATTAAATTCAATATGGCAAACAGCAACAGCCATTTCAGTGAAGACACTATAAGGCTACAATCATAGCAGAAAGTTAGGAATTGGGAGTCAAACAAATCCTAAATTCGCGGTTCCATTTTATTGCGAAGGAGTTAAAATTCCCATAAAAGATCAAGTGGTTATCTCTACTCATTGCCCTTGGGAGTGGTATTGGAAGAGGGGTATGAACAGTCTGCCTTTGCAACGTTGATAAGTATGAAGCATGGAGAGAAAACGCAAAAAATTGTGGCTAAATATGTATATGATCGCTTCCGCGAAAGAGATAGCCGCGTTAAATATAACCTTGTTTAATAGTTGTATAAATTTTACAAACGTACACCTTTGTAATTATTGCACGAAAATCTTTGTTATCGTTGTAAACACATGTGTCTGTAGGCGCTCTGTTGATAATAAAGCACTTATCCTATCCTATCCTGTCCTATCATATCCAGTAATTTTTAGGGGATTGGGGGAGGGGGGGGGGAGCGCGACCAAGCGGTTAAAGAAGTAGAATTGCAAACCGGAGGTTTCAAGCCCCACCCAGCCGCGGTTGGATTAGTTGGAGAACGTAGTTCATAGTTCAGCTCGTCAACCATTTTTGTAAATAGCCATCCTCTTTGCATTGGCCATTTGGGATTCTTACTTTTTATATTTATTTAAATTATTCGTTTTGCTCCTTATTACAGTGCAACTAGTCCAACCGGGGCACTTGGAAGAACATCCAATCACAACGGTTTTGGAAAACACAAGATTCTCACGTTTTTTTGCAAACGGACCGATAACATACATGAATTTGAGGGCTGTTGCCTGAGAGGTCAGGTAAGTTCAAACGGTTTTAAAATTTTTAACGGTTGCACAGTTGAACCTTGAATTTTATTGGTCCATTTGCAAAAAACACTTGAGAATCTTTTGTTTTCAAAAAATGTTGTGATTGGATAATCTTCTTCCAAGTTCTCCGGTTCGAGTAGTCGCACTGTAATTGGCCACAAAGCGAACTTCTGGGTTACCAGTAATTGTGTTACCACTATAGAGTAATTTTCTACTTCTTTGTTGTAGGGATATAAACACTACTCCTCAGTCGTAGACGTAAACACCAGAGGCAATTATTTAGTAACCTGCAGAATGTAGCACAACTAAAGAAAGAAATACACTCACATATCTGTCCAGCCACGACCGGAACCACCATTCACGAACACTGTCATTTTCATCAATAAATAATTCTTTAATTGCCCACTGAGAAAATATCCATTGACCCAACGTCTAAAGGAGAAGAAAGCATACAAGTTATTGACCAAAACCCTCGTTTTCAGAGATGGTTTTCGCACAGCCTGTGTAGCTGGCAGTTTTAATGGAAACGCCGTTGAGCGCGGGTTGGTGGCGAAGGAATGAAAAACGAACACTGTCATTTTCATCAATAAGTAATTCTTTTAATTGCCCACTGAGAAAACATCCATTGACCCAACGTCTGAAGGAGAAAGCACACATGTTCTTAACCACCAAAACAAGCGTTTTCAGTGATGTTTTCGCACAGCCTGTGTAGCTGGCAGGTTTATTGGAGACGCCGGGGGGCGCGGGTTAGAGACGAAAGAATGAAAATGTGAACAGAAGCTTGGAAAGGAATTCAGCCCGATTGTCCCTGTGACTTCAACGCACGCTCGTCCTCCCATATCGCCCGATCGCCGCTCCCTAACAAGGGGGGCGTGTTGGAAGGCTAACTTCCCTGGCGTGTATGACATTATTGCGTTAATGAAAAAAACATCCTGTTGTACCGGCCTTAATTAGCTTGCGTGCTAAGGTACCTTATTTTCTTAATGTTACTTTGAAAAACTGTAAAATCGACGCAGTTCAAAAGAGTCTTAAGCGACGTTGCGGCAATGCCGCCTTCCTCAGAGTACAAGACATTATAACGTTATTAGAGACTTTAGATTCGCGGACGAGGACAACTACGAGTACGAGATTTCACTTAAAAGTTTTTTCGCGTCTTCTCAAAGTATGGACTCCTCGGAAAGCTTCATTTTACCATTTTTCACTAGAAAAGTTAGCACTGTTATCTTAAGTGAAGGAGGTTACACCCTCTCCTGATCGCAAAATGATAAAACTTTTAACATTCGATAACTTGTTTCCGCCACTACGACATTCGCGCTAAAACTCGTAGAAGAATGACGACGGCTTCCACGTTTTCCCGCCAAAATGACGCTGGCTCACGGGCGTGCACTACTTACTATTGAGAAAATCTCGTACTCGTAGTCATTCTCCTAAAAATTTGCAAAGACCTCTGGGACTGTTACCAGGGACAGGAAGAAATGGCCAATACCTCACTGGCGCGTCCCCAGTAACGATCCCAGAAGCAACTGCGGGACACATTTCGGCACCAGTTCCCCTTTCGTTTTAAAGTGGCAAATAACTAGGAAGGAATCTGAGCGGGACGAGTTGGCTGGCAGTTCAATGACATCTCACTTACCGGCAAACTCCAAATAATTCTAATTCCACAAAAGAGTAAGAAGAACTTAATCAACATTGTCAGATAATGTTTGTAGTTATCTGCAAGAGTCAAAACAACATAAAACAATACATTTTTAAAAGTGTATGAAGTATTCTATGGTATTCTATCCTCCGTAACGCTGTAGCCCTCCGTAGCAACGGACGAAAATAAACCTCCACCGCAGAGGAAACTAAATCTCAGTGATTAGTCCCCCTGCAAGCCAGCGCCGTAATCTCTGTTCTGAAGCAGACGGATAGAAAGCGTTGGACGACCCAAACTCATTCAGACAAACTTAACTGAGCCAGACGTCAAACATTTCATGAACTTAACTCACCAAGTTAAACCAAAAAAAAAAAAAAAAGTTTGGTTCGTCCCATGAAAAGTCCCACGTTTGGCCTAGGCCTCAGATTGGCAACAACTGTGCACTGGCAGCACGTTTTTTTTTGTACACTTCTTTGCCGTTGCTGCACGACCGCTACGTGAAACTGCCTTACTTCACGTTTTATGAAGGACGTGAACACGAAAAACCGATTTCATTTTTCTTTTTCTTTTTTTTTTTATCTTAGGTACAGTCTTTTCGAATTCAACTCCAGAAAAATTCGCCAACATTTGACAATTGAACGAGGTGGAATAAGAAGGAAGGAATTTGAAACAGGGCGTATTAATTTTTCGTGTGACGTTTTCACTGCCGTCCCCGTCGTTGATGCTTAAGGGACTGTTTGCAAAGAGGTGGGGGTAGGGAACCCTTAGTGAGTGGCGTAACCCGCCTGTCCATATAATCTCTCATTTNTTTTTTTGAAAATAAGAACCTGTTTTAGGATTTTAGCCTAAAATGGTTCTTATGTGAAGGGTGCTTAAAAATGAAATTTTAGCCTAACAGGTTCTTAAATGTTAGGTTCTTATACGCGGGTTTTTACTGTACTTACTATTGAGAAAATCTCTTTCTCGTAGTCATTCTCCTAAAAGTTTGCAAAGACCTCTGGGACTGTTACCAGGGACAGGAAAAAATGGCCAATAGCTGACTGGCGCGTCCCCAGAAGCGATCCCAGAAGCAACTGCGGGACACATTTCGGCTCCAGTTCCCTTTTCGTTTTAAAGTGGCAAATAACTAGGAAGGAATCTGAGCGGGACGAGTTGGCTGGCAGTTCAATGACAATTCACTTACCGGCAAACTCCAAATGATTCTAATTCCACAAAAGAGTAAAAAGAACTTAATCAACATTGTCAGATAATGTTTGTAGTTATCTGCAAGAGTCAAAACAACATAAAACAATACATTTTTAAAAGTGTATGAAGTATTCTATGGTATTCTATCCTCTGTAACGCTGCAGCCCTCCGTAGCAACGGACGAAAATAAATCTCCACCAAAGACGAAACTAAATCTCAGCTTTAGTCTGCCTGCAAGCTAGCGCCGTAATCCCTGCTCTGAAGCAGACGGATAGAACGCGTTGGACGACCCAAACTCATTCAGACGAACTTAACTGAGCCAGACGTCAAACTTTTCTTGAACTTAACTCACCAAGTTTGGTTTGTCTCATGAAAAGTCCCACGTTTGGCCTAGGCCTCAGATTGGCAACAACTGTGCACTGGCAGCCCGTTTTTTTGTACACTTCTTTGCCGTTGCTGCACGACCGCTACGTGAAACTGCCTTACTTCACGTTTTATGAAGGACGTGAACACGAAAAACCGATTTCATTTTTCTTTTTCTTTTTTTTTATCTTAGGTACAGTCTTTTCGAATTCAACTCCAGAAAAATTCGCCAACATTTGACAATTGAACGAGGTGGAATAAGAAGGAAGGAATTTGAAACAGGGCGTATTCATTTTTCGTGAGACGTTTTCGCTGCCGTCCCCGTCGTTGATGCTTAAAGGACTGTTTGCAAAGAGGTGGGGGACCCTTGGTGAGTGGCGTAACCCGCCTGTCCATATAATCTCTCATTTTAATTTAATCACGTTTACATGATAGATGGGGTGACCATAAAAGAGATTATATGGACAGGCAGATTACCCCACCTACCTAGGGTCCACCACCTCCATGTAAACAGCCCCTAAGATCCCTGTTACTAGCTGGGACGCAGGCTAAGAGCCTATTAGTAAAATCCAACTAGTGGTCTATTATCAATGCTAAGTTCTGATTGGTTGAGCTACTACTAGGCTAAATGTTATAGCCCACTAGAGTAGTAGCGAAAAGCGCCAGCTTTTTGGCCGAAAAAAAAGATTAAAGTCTAGCTTTAACTTTTGTCTCGATATTTTTTACCAACTAGTTGGATTTTACTAAAACAATTATTCCTCGCGCCCTCATGGCCTCTGACTACTAGTCAATCGCGCCCCATTCGGGCTTGAGGAATAATCGTTAATTAGCACACGAAGAAAATGTTAGCTCAGTGGAGAAAAAAGTATGAGCGTTAAACCAATTTTCTTTGCTCCCAATGCCTGATCAAAAAACAGATTTTCTCACCTTTAACAAGAGCGGCTGTTACCCTTGGCCACGCAGCTACGAAAAGATAAATCACCACGAACCAAAACGACACCAGTGGGACAAAATAGTAAAACTGATATGGACGGCCCATTACCAGGCACAAAACAGCCACTAGGATATTCATCCTTGTCATGACCTGAAAGAATATAGAGTCAGATTATTTCCCACCGATTTTGCATTCTGTACTACGTAGAGTCCTCTATTGTGCCTTGATTCTGATTCTTTGATTTTAGTGTGGCTTTGATACAGAAATTTCGGAAGCAGCTTTTGAAATTTAGGAAGCACCTTTTTGGATTTTTGGCAATTTTTAGCAAGTTTTTGGCATTCTAGCAAACAACTTTCCAGCATTTTACGAGCACAATCGAAACAGGCCTATGTGTTACCTCTAACACAACCTGTTCCCAGGGCATTTCAATTAGAGAAAGCCCTAGGGAAAAGTTTTATCTATATCATTTTTTTTATATTTTTTTTAAGAGAGATCTGCCTAACTAGTGATTACCTGGCAAAATCTGTAGAGCCCAAAGTCTCCTTTGTTCCAAAAGTATGAGAAATGTCCATAACCGGTTAGGAATAGGTAGGATGCCACTAAAAGCCTTATGAAAACGTAAATTGGAAGAACCTGGCGATAGATAACAGTAGAACTATGTCATACATTTTTAGGATGGTTGCGGACATCTTACGATCGAAACTCCGTGGATCATCTTCCCTTAGACAAACAGATAACAGTGACAATGTCTCCTATTTAATGGTGTGGCGCTTATTTTCCGCGCAACACAACTAAAAATCTCAAAAATCAAACGAGTTTTGGGCGTTTTTTTACTAAATGGGAAAACAAAATTTTGGCAAGAGTCACAGCAAACTACAAATCAAAGTAGGAAAAAGAAAGTGCTTTCCGTAGGTGTTTGCGTTTTCATTCTTTTGTAGCTTTCTACAACTCTTGCTCTGGTCTGTTTTTTCTACTTTTTCCACGAAACATTTCAAAATAATTTTGTCTTAGAAGGCAACGGCTTCGAGAGAAAGTCGTTTACGAGAGGTTCTGCAGAACTACAGAATACTGACTGCAAAACGTATGGTGACTTTCCATGGATGGTCACATAAACATAATAAACTGTAGTGAGCTGTGTCAGGTCATCGCTGTGTATACGAGTGCTTTGATTCAAATATCTTTTATTACCTTACTTGCTCCAGTGTAGTGATACAACAGAATAACCAGCTGCATCCAACCTTTCCACTCATTTGTTTGATCTCTGTTTAAAACTACCATCTGAGGGAACAAAAGCAGTCAACGAACGAGTCAACTGAATGTTTCAGTTATCAGATAGCTGAAATTTATCAGATTTATTTGCGTGACATGTCAAACAAAACAATCACGTCAGCAAAGACTCGTCTCAGTTAGCGGAGTGCAAAATGTCTCACCTGTTGGGCAGGAACCCAAGTCCAGGCCCCAAGCAGCAGGAAAACAATTAAAACCGAAACAAATGCAACATGACTGTACTCTTTCTGCTCTTTAAAAAACAAGTTTGTTCTGGAAAAAAGAACAAGAAGAAGATACATCTTTTCAGCTGCATTATCAATTACAACGATAGAATGTGATGCAGGAAGTGAACGATTGCCAACAGCAATATAGTTGTTCCTAGCAATTTTCCCGCGTGTAGTCGCCATCTTGGAGTTTGAAAGCAGAGGAAGACTGAGTAGTCGTGCGGCTTTGTTTTGCACGCGGACGCAGCAACTCCCTACATTGTTGGGCCAAAAATGTTGGGAGTTGTTGCGTCCGTGTTGGCAGTGGTGTGCAAGCGGATGCAACAACTCCCAACAACATGCAACAAGGTGTGCAAACGGACGCAACATGTAACATCCAACAATATTGGGAGTTGTTGGCCAACAATGTTGCGTCCGTTTGCACGGGGCTTTAAGCTCGACAACGTAGCCCGTTTGGTCACTTTGCGATCTCCTGAAGCTCGCTTCGCTTGCTTTAGGGTTAATGACACACTTTTACACCGTATAACGTATAAGGTATGGATTTCCACTGTCGCCAAGTTTTTTACGAGCACTCACGTAAATTTTACGCGGGTAAATAACATAGACAGGCATTGTATGAAGTTTCGCACGAAAAGGCAACTTTTACGTTTCCGCGCGACCTTTCACACATTGCCTCTATTCTATTTGCGCACGCAAAGTTTACGTACGCACGCAAGCAAAATCACGCGACTGTAGAAATCCACTCATAAAGAGAGTTCGACTTGGTGCATATCTAACGCGACTTGAGTTGCACTGGGAAGTGAGACAAAAATCGGCAGAATAAAAGCATTGTTAACATCATAATAAGATGAACTATAGTTTAATCAAACCAACCTGTCACAAAGGAAGAAATAAAACATAATAAGTCCCAATTTAAACAGACTCTTCATAACAGGATACATTCTGTCAGAGTACACCCAACGCAATGAAAAACTGGGACGCCCGCCAGGGGTGGTTGGCTCCACACCTAAAGAGTAATTATTACGATTATTAGTGATAACAGTAATAAATTATCCTTAATTATCTCTTGCTCTAAGGGAAACAAGAGTTGCGTAGTGGTGAGAGCTATCCCCTCTTA